CCTAAGGAGGAATGGTCACGAAATGTTTGGATTAAACAGATTCCTTTGCGTGTCTCTTTCGTTGCATGGAAACGACAAAATGGCTTGTTGTCATTCCCGGAGGTTTTAAGTTGTACGGGGATTAAGACTCTTCCTTCGGTAACTTTGTTTTGTTATAATCATAGTGAAGGAGTTGAGCATACTTCTATGGGTGTCATAAGGTAAGCGAGGTATGGGGTTACTTAGCGGGTTTAATGCAGATTAAATTGCTTGGCGCAACCTCTCTTGGAGAAGAGGGAAAATGCATTCTGCCTTTGGGGTCTTACATATGATGCTGCCTATGGTTATCCTTTGGGAAATATGGAAAGCTCGAAATAAGGCTTTTTTTGAGAATGTAAAAATGGATGTTCCCCGGATCATTCATGTTGTTAAAAGCAATATTGTCACCATTAAAACACACGTGAAACACCATTTTGTTCAGCTCATGGATTGCCATAATGGTATAATATTTAATTAAGTAAAACCAGTTTTAGTCGCGTGAGTTGCACGAATTGAAGTGTACAATATTTTAATATATAAGTTCAAATATTATAATTCTTTGAAAAAGATATTTGTATGGTTAAAATTATTTCTATCCAATAGGAATTATAAAGACCAGAGAAATATATAGTGTAGATACATATTGACTTGTGTGTACATAATAACTATCGATAAAAATATATATTTTGGGGGCAAAGATAACATTTGAATGGCAAAGTACCATCAAAATTGAAGGGGTTTTGCACTACACATCCGTCACTACTTTTTCATTATACCCTTTTCAATATCGATAGCCTTTTCTTGAAAGAGAGTTTTAATTCCAACAAAAAAAAGTTTCTGATCGATAGCCTTTTCTTGAAAGAGAGTTTTAATTCCAACAAAAAAAAGAGGACGGTACAAACTAAAAGAATCCTGCAAAGAATGAAATAGTATTGAAATTATATTGCAGAAACCAAGGAAAAAATAAATAAAATGATTAGATAATTTCCACGCATTGTTTGTCATGGAGCCTTCTTCTCCAACCAGTCCAGTACAAGCTTGTTCCATGCTTCCTGCAACATCTTGTTCTCATCCTTTAAAATCTCATTGTCAGTTTTCAGAGTATGAATTTCCATTTTTTCCTTGAAGCTAAAAAACAATAAAAAGGCATTACTTTTCATCTTGAAAAAGATTACTAAAAAGAATGTAGTATGTCCCGTGTATAGCACGTGATCCGTGCGTGACACGTGTATAACACTTTTTTAAGAAAAAATGGACAATAGTTGGAAAGACGTGTGTTGGCTTAATTAAACATTGAGTTTTAAAGTATAAATGGCGATCTAAAATATAGTTTCTTCATGTACATTCCGTTGTTTTACTTTGATATATACTTACAATGAGTCTTAGAAATATTTTTCTTCTTCGAAAAGTATTTTTTTTCTAAATGTTGCTAGCAGTGAAAAATTATTAAACAAACCCGTGTTGTTAAACCAATACTTGTTGGGATAAAGGAAAAAACACATCAAATATAGAAAAATGGAGATCGATAATCGACAAGAAGAAACTATTAATTCTTAATAATCATCACAAATATTTATTTAAAATACCAAAAAAAAAAGACAAACAAACAAAGCACACGTATGCAGATCGTCAGCCCATGTCTCATCTCACTTAAGATTTTTATAATAATCCAATAATTAATTGTTTGAAATCATGAGAAATATTCATGTGAATTTCAGAAAAGAATAGATAAACCACACTCGTGCTAATCGTTAGTATAAGGATCACCTCTCTCGTGATTCTTATAATAGTTATCATATTAGGGCCTAACTTCTCCTGTACGAGTAACTTATTTTGTTTCAATTTTAATCATTTCCCTTTCTTATCTCTAAAAGCAAGACTCACCCACTTATAAGGTGGTTCAACTTCTGTTTAATAGACCAATTTGTTCATTGATTTTGAAATTCTATCAGATCTAATAGTTGTCTCCTTGTAGGCTTATATTTTTTGTGTAATTTTGAAGGTACTTATCCTAGCAAGTTTGATTTTAGTTACTGGGATTTTGGAGATCCCAGTTAATGATTACTCTGAGAGATACTCGATAATATTGTTAAAGATTACTTCACTGGGGTGTATCAAGTTAATGTTACTGTCCTTTATATTTAGATATTTCAAAGTTGGATTAATTGATTTTTGTTGCACAGGAAGTTCATTCTTTGATTACAAAGAATTGATAATTGAAACAATATGTTTCTGCGAACATTGCTTGTCCATAGGTGTTGATACCCTCTTGCAAGTTAAGCCTCACCAAGTTTATATAAAATGTTTCATATAATATTTTTAGCTTTTCAGCAATTTAATTAACCTTGAGTTTGTGTGCTTGTGGAATCGCCTTAAAGGGGTAAATCTCCTTTAGTTTTCTCTGTTTTACCTCAGTTTGTACTTGTATTTTGTTAGAAGAACTTTATGGTATGAACAGATGTACAGTAATTCTAGGTTCCTAAGTTCATGTCTGGCTACCCGGACCTTGTGTTTGGAGTTCTCGTAGCTTCGAAAGATCCCTTTGTTGAACACAATGAACTGGCCATTCACATTACTTGCCAATTTAGTGGCTAAAGGTTCTGCCTCAATGAAGATGTTTGCAAGGTATTCTAAATGAAGAAGAAGGCTAAGTTGCTCCAAGCTGGAATATATGTCTTCAAAATTTGGAATGACCATCGGGCAACCAAATTGTGTGGTTAAACTATAGTAATAATGTAGAAAATCTACAAACAATGGGTGTTGAACATTGCCTCTGTGTATATGATTAGCGAGAAAAAGGATGGTCCATTTAGGTACAAAATGCATCACACAAATTTTTAATATTTCTCTTGTATTCATTGTTATTACAGTACCTTTGTTGCACTAGATGTTTTTGCAATTTTGTCAATAGAATGGGTAATCAAATTTAGAGGCAAACAAACATCCAACATGTAATGGAATTCAGTAACAACAAAACATGGGATATAGTGAGCAAATATTGAAAAACAAAAATCTCAACACAAAAAAAGTAGTTTGCAGTTTCAAATGCCCTTCAACTAGATACAATCTTTGAATTCAAAATGTACGAAAAAAAAGTATGGTTATTGAAGCTTAATCCCGAAGTCCCAACAAAGCAACTAGTTGAGCTCACTTTCCTCATCCTTAACCGGTGACCACATGTTCCAACGTCGTCAAATCCGTTTCTGCGGTCTAAAACCCATATGCATAGTAGAAGTTAAATTTTCTTCAAAATTAGAATATTGAAACACATACACATACTGCTAATTTTTAGTTGAATTTTTTTGTATAGCTTACCACTTTTCCGGCCATCTGAGACTCACTTTGTGTCAACAAATCTTTCTTTCTCTGATTCACAGGAAAATGTACAATATTGTAAGAGTACAATGCAATAGTAGTTCAAACAAAGTGACCATCAACTTTGGGTAAACCTATAAATGCAAAAATTTATATTGTGAAAGAATATAAAGCTAAAAGTTTTCAAGATATACAAACCTTTTGTTGAGCCTTCTTCTCTTAACTTCTTCGTAACTTGTTCAACCTTTTTTTGAGCCTTTGTCTGTAGTTTCTTTGTAATTTGTTCACCCTTAAACTCAATTCTCATTTTCTTAGGTAGATGGCCTCGAGACTTAGCATGCATAGGAGAATGTATTTTTGCTAGTTTAACCCTTGAATGTGGGGTTGACAAGTCACAATTCTTTTCAACCTCCATCTGATCATCAGAATCCATAGCAATGAGTTTACTCTTTGTCTCCTACAAAACTTCATACAAAACAGCAAAGGTTCCATCCTTTTTGGATCCAAGCTTCAGCATTTCTTGAATCAATGGAGTGAGTTTATTGTATCGAGATCTTTCTTCATCACAACCATAATCATCATAAATGTTAGTGATCTTTTGATATCCACGCTTCATATCCTTGCGCCATCGTTCCAAAACATAAATTGATGGAACCTCTATCACATTACTTCTGATAAGCACAAAAATTGCATGCCTACATAAGATGCCACGAAACTCAAAGTGACGACATAAACACTTAATGTGACACTGAATCTCATCGTATTGTACCCAGAATGAGACTTTTTAAGGAGGTGCTCCATTGTGTCCCAATACTGTTTGTACCACTTCAAACATCAATAGTTGGCCTTCTTATTTCACAAGTGAGGCATTGCAAAGCATTAGCCCTCTCCATTCATTTGAAACAACTTCAATATAGCATTAGTATAGACTAGTTGAAACTGCTCTTGAATTGGATAACCAATAATTAATGGGATGACAGAGTTGAAAGAATGAAAATCTAGACCTTTTTTTTTTTTCTCTATTTTACTCTTTAAAGCATTGTCATACTGCTCAACAAATTTTTTCAGACTTATTTTTGAATGAAAATAATCATCAAAAAAGGCATTCATGCTCTCACTTTTTTGAGATGTTGACATTCCTGCCCAAAAAGTATCTTTCATATACACAGGAATTAATTTTCTGTGCTCTTCATACAAAGTATTCAACCATTCACTTTTCTCCAAACCAAATTTATCAATCATTTTATGCCAATTCTCCTCACATTCATCAATTGTAAGTGAACTATAAACAATACTCTTCAATTGCTTTTTTATTGTCTTATAATTAGCATAATCACATAACTTTGTAGGAATTTTTTTCATGATATGCCAAAGACAAAAACGATGGCGAGAATTAGGAAATACCTCTGCAACTGCATCCTGAATAGCTTGGCACTGGTTCGTAATTATAGCTTTTGGAGCACGTCCGAACATGCATGACAACCAAGATCTAAACAACCATGTGAAAGTTGGTGTATCTTCATTTGATAACAATCCGCACCCAAGCAAAATAGACTGCCCATGGTGGTTTACGCCAACAAATGGAGCAAAAAGCATGTCATATTTATTGGTTAAGTAGGTAGTATCAAATGTTATAACATGGGGAAAACAATGATATGCAGCCCTACTTCTTGCATCTGCCCAAAATATATTTTTGATGTGGCAATCACCATCCAAATCCAGTAGGGGGAAGAAATTTGGGTTTCGACTTTGCATGCGACAAAAATAATTATTCAATGCTTCACAATCTCCCATGCCTAATCTCAATTTTCTAACTTCGGCGACAAAATTTCTGCATTTTCTCTCATCAAAAGGCAAATTCTCCAACCCACCGTACTCCACTACAAGTGATTGAAAACTCTTAGCCATAGGTATTCCAGCTTGATCATTTAACACTAATTTTCTTTTTACACCGGGATCTATCACGTGATTACTCTTAAAATGGCGTGACATCGGAGGACTTAAACAATGGTTGTACTCCAGCGACACACTAGATATCATAAACATCCCATCATTCTGAAGTGTAACATTAATCTTAGCTTTGCATTCCAATTTAATGGTAGGTCGAGGATATAATGGATTTTTTTGCCTTAGATTCCTTCTTCTTACCACCTTTGACACATCCCAGTGTAAAATATTTTATCTTGCCATTGTCATCTCTTTTATGCCATAATTTGCTAATGCCGAATCCGACATTTTTCACATAAGAATAATAAAGACCATGAACATCTTCTTCCGATGGAAACAACATCCCAACTTCAGGAACTTTAACTTTCTCATTTGAACTTACGGAGGCTATATGCTCATCATTTTTATCTTTTATGCCATGAGAATTAATTTTTCGCTCTTCCATGAAAAACTTGTAAACTGCACGTACACAAAAATTACAACTCATATCAAGCATGTACTCTTGAAGCAGCAACCGTCAGCAGCATATTTGTATGACTGGAATGATCAACAAGGACAGTTGCGAATTTAGTATTCCTTCTTTTTGGACCATGATAAACTGCATCATCTGAATTTCCTCTCATTTTAAAAATTATAACATGTATCCAAGGGCTTGACAAAAAAATAGGTGACAAACACTGATTTAAAGGTTTTCTGCCAAGGGGTGTTAATGTACTCAATATAGATGTCACATGGTAATCCAGGAGAAGCTGCAAAGTACTTGAGGCAAAATTTTTGGCCACAAGGTGTTGTAACTGGCCACCCACATAGTTGCAAACAGAGAGCACCAAAAGCTTTCAATAAGAAGATCCAAAGCTTCAGTGTGCTTCTCACTCTCCATCATGGAAGCATAATCGTTGATATCCTTAATTTTGGCAACCAGGTCGCTGACGGCCGGCGAGGCCGGAGCTCCATTTTAGGACATTGTCGGAGCGATCACGACAAACATATTTCACAATCTCTCTGAGTGTTTCGGGAAACTCTCAAAGACAGTACAAGTGCCCTGGCGAACCGCAGGTGGTGCAGCAGATGGTCCGTTCGAGTTCCGAGGTCTTCTTGTAGCACATACACTCACCGTCCGTGTAAACCAAAAGGAGTGGCTGGAGTTTTTGAGAGTCACCATCGTCTAGACAAAGATGGAAGATTCAGGAGCAAAGGAATGGGAAAAGGGAGCAATCGAAGTGAAACTGTGAAAGGGGAAAAGTGAAGCCCTTGAAGGAAGAAGGAGAGAAAAATGGTGAGGGCGGGAGTTTGAATTCGGTTGGGCTGTTGGGTATTTCCCATCCAGGAGAAGCTGTTTCAGGATATATTATTAGTGATCATGAAAGCAACCTAAAAGCAACTGAAAATAAGAATTTAGCTCTTTTAACAAGTTTTGAGGTTGAAGCTGAAGCAATGTTACTTGGCTTAAAGAAATGCGAAGATTTACAACTACGATAAGTCCAAGTAAGATCGTGAGGTAAATGGTGTAGCTAACTCTATGGCAAAGATAGCATCCGCAAGAACATCTCATATATACTCATCACTCACGGTCATGGATTGTTGTTCCTTGATCAACAATCTATCCCCTATCTATGCGTTAAATGATGCATTTGATGTGTATGAATTGTAATAGATAGTGATTTATTTATTTAATTTATTATGCTTTATACAGAGCTACCATGGGATTAGTAGTTAAATTTTTGTGAGATAGCTATTAGTTTACTTACACTAAACAATAGTGCTATGTGAGTGTAACAAATCTTTGTAAGATAGATACTTAGTGTAATTTAGATTAGAACTGTCACGGAGTTCTTAGAAAACTCTTGTAAGACTGTTCTTTTTAATTTGGGTAAATCTTAAACATTTCCCTTTGTATCTTTCATTTTATTTCAATAAAATGGGGATCCTCCCGCCAGATATCGCCTTATATTTTCCTTAAAAAAACTATTTTAAAAATAATGTTTTGGAAATGAAATATACTTATATCATAATGTGTGGTTACCAAAATTAGATTTCCAAAATCTTGTGCAACTCAATATTTGGTAAGAATGTTCATCTTTTTGTTTGGAAAAAATCAAACTAAAACAATAAAAATCCTGGTAAAATAATCATCTATTTAAATTATGCAATACTATCACCGTTAAAACTCATCTAGATTACCATTTTATTTAGCACTTAGGTTGCACGAGTTGTACCATATTTTATTGAGTAATGCTCGTTTTAGTCACAAGGGTTGCACGGATTCTATAATATTTTTATATATAAATTTAAACATTTTAATTCCCTAAAAATGTTTTTGTGTAGTTAAAAATAATTTTAACTAAAAGAAAAGATAAAAACGGTTATAATATATAGTGTCGATGAATTGTGATTCATATGTACACGATAATTATTGTTAAAATTCTAATTTTGGGGAAAAGAATAAAATTTTGATGGCAAGTTCCAGCATAATCACATGGTTATTACACTAACACATCATTATTTCTTTCACTATATGTTTTTAACTACACACATCCCTTTCCTTAATATCTTTTTTTTTAAATTTCCGAATAGCTAAGATGGCAAGTTCCAGCATAATCACATGGTTATTACACTAACACATCATTATTTCTTTCACTATATATCGCATAATGACATAACTTCTCCTCTACGAGTAACTTTTTTTGTTTCATGTTCAATCATTTTCGTTTCTTGTCTCTAGAAGCATGACTCACCTGCTTATCAAGTATCCTACATAAAATGACATAATTAGGCAACGACACGTTACCAGATTCAATGGTACCTACGTCTAACACTAAGGCATCAAAATAGCATTGAACATCCTTGAATTTTCGCCCAAGAACTAAAGCAGCAACTTGCACCAGCATATTTGCATAAGTGGAAAGATCAGCAAGCGTATTTGCGAATGCTGTATTCCTTTCTTTGGACCATGATGAACTGAAATATCTTCTGTTTCCTCTCATTTTCAAGAATATAACATGTAAACAAGAGATGGACAAGATGCTATTCTGAACGAGTTCGCAAGGGTAACAACCACTGTGATAAATCAATGTTTTTGGGAATTAAATATATGATTATGTCATAATGTGCACTTACCAAAAGTAGATTTCCAAAATCTTGTGGAATTCACTATTTAGTAACATTGTTCAACTTTTCTTTTTTTGGGTGACAAAAACATCAAACTAAAACCATAAAAAATTCTACTAATATAATTATCGATTTTAATCATGCATATTATTACATGTGAAACTCATTTAAATTATCATTTTGTTCAGTAGTTGGGTTGCGCAGTTTGCACCTTATTTTATTAAGTGCAATAAGTTTATTCAGGTGGGTTGCACGAATTGTACAATATATATATATATATATATATATATATATATATATATATTTGGAAGAACCAGAGTAGTACCTGGCTGCCATTCTCCAGATTTTATTGTTTGAAAAACGAAATTACAAAGTACAGTACTTAAGACTTACCGAAAAAGAAGAACTATCTCATAAAGATATCAAAAATCTCATGATGGTTATGGTACAATTAAAAGCTCTTACAAAATTCTGCAGAATAGCATGACATTTCTTCTTTGTATATTTAAGTATACTTCATAGAAAAAGAAATAAAAATCTCAAAAAGAGAAATTATGCTATAAAATTATCTACTACGAATATATGGCATATCTCGCTGATCCAGTAGTAATAGGTCCCTGGGAAATTTAGGAAGATCAACAATACAATGAAAGGTCTGTGAAAAACCTGCTGACGTTACCTGGGCTAAGCTGTCTACTGCTGCATTAGTCTCTCTATAAACATGCATTATAGAGTATCCCTTCTTATTCATTATGAATTGTATCTCTCTCAATTGGAAATAATATTTCCAAGGTAAGTCTCCTTCCACAAAAAAATTGGCTATGAATTGTATTCATTCATTATGAATTGTATCTCTCTCAATTGGTTCGGGTACGGGCGGTAAGAAATTACTTCGAGCCCCGCCCAAAAAACCGAACTATTATTATTATTTTATTATATATGTTATTATTATGCCAGTGTTTAATTTTTTCCTTTCTCATTCATTTTTTCTTTCCAAAGCCGCCAACAGCCCAACATCCAACTCCAATTTCTCTCCCACTTCAACTTTGACACCTCCGTCAATCCAACTCCACCAATCCACCATAATCATCTTTCTCTTCTTCTTCCTCTTCTCCTGACTCCTCCGCTCCTGCATCGGCCGTCATATTTCTTTCTTCCTCTTCTCTGCATCGGCCGTCACCATGTTTTGTTTCTATTTTTATTTTATAAATTATAACCATCACCTGCCAATTTAATTTCAATTAAGATTGTGTATTTTGTTTAATTGATTAGATCTGGAAGTGACTATGTTGTTGGGTTGTTTGTGTTTTGTGTGAATTCTTTTTAGGGAGGGGCACAGGGCTTGAAATTTGGATTTTGTTCTCTCTTTTAATTCCTCGAGAAATAGAATTGTATACCAACGGCCCAGATGCCACATATGAGGCGGAATTTTCTTCCTTGTCTGACCAGATTCGTATCATGCTTTTGGAATTTTGGTTGGTGTCGGTTTGATCGGCCCCTGAAGCGAACACTCAATTTTTTATTGGTTCGGTTCGGTTCGGTTTCATGTTATTTTCGATTCGGTTTCAGGCGGGTCTTACGAGAAAAAAAATCTGATTAACCCGAATCGTACCAAACCACTCGAATTAGCAGTCCTAACTGCCTTGGCCACAAGGGTTAATTTCGCTTTAGTTTAGTCCATTGGATTTTTGCCACCGACTTTGCTTAATTACTTTGCATGATGATTTTCAATTTCAACCTTTCAATTGTATGGATTTTTGAGTCAGATGATCTGTATGAATTGCGATCATTTTTTTTTTCTTTTTCTCTTTCCTTTTTTGTTGCATTTCCCCGATGCTGGAAATCTTTTTATTAATTTGTCTCAGCACAAACCGAAAATTAATTTGTTATTTAAAATAAACATTCCATTTATAAAAGAAAATGTTACATGGCTTGATTAAGTTGAAGGCACGTTCTAGCTAATCTATGCAAACCTTCAACTATTTCTCTTGTGACTTTCAAGACACTACAACCATTAAACCTATTAATAAGACCCCTTAGTTTTTCTACCAATGGAAGCAAGTTGATGTGACAAGTCTTCTTTTGGATGATGTAAT